ATGCACCGTCAGCAAGTTTGCTGACGACACCAAGCTGTGTGGCTCGGTTGATACTCTGGAGGGAAGGGATGTCATCCAGAGGGACCTGGACACGCTTGAAAGGTGGGCTGATGCCAGCCTCATGAAGTTCATCAGTGCGAAGTGCAAGGTCCTACACTTGGCTCAGGGAAATCCCAGGCACAGCTACAGGTTGGGCAGTGACATGATTCACAGCAGCCCTGCAGAGAAGGACCTGGTGTGTTGGTCAGTGAGGAACTAAGCATGAGTCGCTTCAGTGTGAACTCACAGCCCAGAAAGCCAATCGTATCCTGGGCTGCATCAAAAGAAGCGTGACCAGCAGGTCAAAGGAGGTGATCCTGCCCCTCTACTCTGCTCTCGTGAGACCCCACTTGCAGCACTGTGTGCAGTTCTGGTGTCCTCAACATAAGAAGGACATGGAGCTGTGCGAGCAAGTCCAGAGGAGGCCACAAGGATGATAAGGGGGCTGGAGCACCTCCCATATGAAGACAGGCTGAGAAAGTTGGGACTGTTCAGCCTGGAGAAGAGAAGCTGTGTGGAGACCTCATAGCAGCCTTCCAGTATCTGAAAAGGGCATACAAGGATGTTGGAAGAGGGACTTTTCATCAGGGACTGTAGTGACAGGACAAGGGCAAACAGAGGAAGTTCAGGATAGATACTCTATTGTGAGGGTGTTGAGGCACTGGAACAAGTTGCCCAAAGAAATGGTAAATGCCCCATCCCTGGCAGTTTTCAAGGCCAGCTGGACAGTGCCTTGGGTGACATGGCCTAGTGTGAGGCATCCCTGCCCTCGGCAGGGGGGTTGGAACTAGGTGATCATAAAGTTCTTTCCAACCCTAACTATTCTATAATTGATTCTATGATTTTTCTCTTCCATTCATCCCTATGGCCCTGAGGTGTGGGTGACTGCTGTGCTGATCTAAGGCTGGATTGCTAATAGGAAGGGAGAGCAACAGAAATTTCATCCCAGAGCAGGAAAAAACCACAGGTTCAGTACTCAATTTTTGTTTATTTTTCCTATTTGGATCAGTATAGCAGTATACTGGTCAAATATGTGTTCTGGAGCTTGGAAAGCTTGAGTGTATGAGTGTTTTGAAACAGTCAAAACAGAAATCAATCATGTGAGGCTCAATTCTGTAATGGCTAAATCTTTCTGTAAATAGGAGTGACCGAATCTGATCTTTTCTACTTTTGTCAAGCTAAGTAATAATGTACTAGACTGAAACATGACTTTCCATATCTCCCTCTTTTCTGTTCAGTCAGCATGCAAGATATTACCAACTATTTTTCTCATTTCTAGGTCCTGGAATTGCTTTCGTGGTTTATCCAGAAGCCTTAACTAGGCTTCCCCTCTCACCATTCTGGGCTATAATATTCTTTTTGATGCTACTGACTCTTGGATTGGACACTATGGTAAACTGCTTTTGTTTTCTCTTCTTTTCCACTTGTTTTCCTATTTATTTGTTTGGAGGACCATGAGATTCATCACTGTTTTCCATATGGTTTGTGAACTGCTTTTCAAAAAGAGGAATGTATTAAGGCCATCAATGCTGAATTAATTTGGGTGAAGCTTTGGCATTGACATCCATGCATTTCACACCTAGGATTCAAAATACTCTGTTTATATCCCGTTTAATCCAGCTGTACCACTTTGTGTACAATGAATACTTTTGTGTTTCAGTTTGCTACTATCGAGACTATAGTGACCTCTGTTTCGGATGAGTTCCCCAAATACTTACGTACACACAAGCCACTGTTCACTCTTGGGTGCTGCATCTCCTTTTTCATCATGGGATTTCCTATGATCACTCAGGTAATTGAGTGTCTTTAAATGTTGTCTTTGAGCATCACTGTCTGTTCCCAATCCGCCTTTGGTGGCCGTTCTCTTCCTGTACAAGTTGCAAAAGATGAAGCTGAGTTCTGTTGAAGGTTAAGCTGAACTCACTGGGTGAGTCTGACAGCCTTATTTTTTGTTATGGAGAAAAAGACTTCGCTGTTCAAATCTTTCTGTGAATCAGACTTCTACAATTTTCTCCAGCCAAACATATCCAAAGCAGTAATGTAAATTAAGTATTCATTTAACTATAACCTTTGTATATCAATTAAACTTGCACACCAGTTTTGGGTGTCTTCCCTCGCAGATAAGATTATATACTGATAGTCTTGGCAGACTGTGGAGTTAATAATGAAATTCTCATCTACCATTGATAGTCTTCAGTGCTTTGTCCACCAGTTCCTCCAGCAATTTCAAGAGGAGGTGCACAAAATCTATCTTGCTGTTTTATTCATCGCTTTTTCTTTCTTTCTTTCCCCTCACCTCATCACCTACCAGCACAGCTTTCCTGTTCTAAAGCCTAGGATGGATTCCGTCCTTCCCTCACTTGAAATATGCTGCTTAAGTTCTGCCCCAAAGGAAGAAACTGTCATGCAGCATTAGAGTGTCCAGTCAGTGTTACCTGGGATAGAGAGCTCTGAGTCCTGCTCCCATCTGTTTTGCCAGCCTCAGCATCAGTTACAGTTGTCACACATGGAGAGATACCAGCTATACACCACTAATAATGGCTCTTCTCTTTCTTTAGGGTGGAATGTATATGTTACAGCTTGTGGACACTTATGCAGCTTCTTACTCTCTTGTCATCATTGCCATCTTTGAGCTGGTTGGAGTTTCCTATATATATGGTAAGAAAAAATGCTGCTGCTAGACAATCTAGATAATGTTTTAGCATATTAGTTTTTTTAACAAAAAGCCTCAGGATTCTGTTATTTTGACTGGAAGCATAATGAGACTTCATTACTTTAGGATTCCTTTAAATATATATATTTAAAAGAATTTCATACAGTCTAAGGTCCTTTGCCCACCAATAGCTTAAAGCCAATGCTTAGAGGTGAGTGTAAGACTAGACCAAGCATTTAGTGGTGCTTTTCCGGCAGCTTTTCACACTCCAAAGGTTTAGGGTCAGACACTTCCTAAGCTGGAAGCGGTACCTTTGCATTTAACAACTTTTGAAGGATTTCTTTTCCATGTACACATTCATCCTTCCCTTTAGCCCATCTGTCTGTAACACTACATCAAGACTATGCAGCTACTCAGAGTGATTATGCCCAGTGGCAGCATCAGTTATACTGATCCATGCTGACATATACCAAATTATGAAGAAGATCCTCAGCTAGTATAAAGCAGTGCCATTACTGATGCTACTGTAGCTACATCAGTTGATACCAACTGGTGATCCCAAACTTGTCCTGCTCTCAGGAGATTGATTCTTGGAACTGTGTGATCTCAAATGGTTGTAATAGGAAATGTGAAGGTCTCCTTACACAACAGATGATGAATTTATTTCTGGAGTGTGGTGGTGCCACTTAAGACTTGCCTTCAAAAGCAAAGGGAGATTTGAATGACAGTGTTAAAGGTGACAAAGATAAGGCCATTACAGTGGCCAGGAATGAATTATCTCTCTTGTATCAGCTAGATATAAATAATACCAAGATATTCCATTGAAGATGCATATATAGCACCATGATCTTAGTCTCTAGTCCTGTGCACTAGATACTTAGGCCTACCTATGTTATGGGGTCCATTCTGTAATACAAGTGCGTTAAAAAATCATATATAATTCAAAACATGAAGAATTTGTTGCTTTTGCTTGAGAAATGAATGTTATATCCAGGACAGGGAATCAGCCCTTCCTTGTTTTCTCTAATTTCATGGAAATACAGCAGTGTATGTTATCTCCACTGCCATCCAATCCAGTGGGCAGGCCTCAGTGGTTGTAAGTTAGGGAGGAAATGTTACAGAATACAATGGAAAAAGTCAAAACACCAAGCAAAAAGTTGGTTTAGAGCAGTCATGTTTTGGTTGTAATGCTTGTTGCTTTTTATGTCCCTGAAATGTAAATTTTTTATTTAGAGTTGGTTTAGAACTGTCACCTCTTTGAGTGAAATGATGTTGGTAATTTGGATCCGCTTTACAAACAACCTGTCTTCTCAAAGGACCTGAGTGTAATGGTTTGAGATATCTCCTGAAGTGGAGTCGAGAGGTGGATTTTGGGGATTATTTAGCAGAACTCCTGGTTTGAAGATCAGAGCTGGCAAGTTGTGCCATTGCTCTGTGCTGTGTTTTCCATGAAGATATGCAAGGTTTGCCCATTCTTTCCCCCCAGTTAGCACCAAGTTTAGCATTTACCCATGCCTGTGGAAACACCACTGGGTATGTGCCATCTGAGTCATTAGTGTCTGGTTATCATAGCTCCCAATTAATCACAGAATAGTTTGGGTTTGAAAAGACCTTAAAGATCATCCAGTTCCAACCCCCTGCCACGGGCAGGGGCACCTTCCACTAGACCAGGTTGCTCCAAGCCCCTGTGTCCAACCTGGCCTTGAACACTGCCAGGGATGGGGCAGCCACAGCTTCTCTGGGCACCCTGTGCCAGCACCTTGGCACCCTCATAGGGAAGAGCTTCTGCCTAAGATCTCATCTCAATCTCCCCTCTGGCAGTTTAAAGCCATTCCCTCTTGTCCTGTCACTACTTAAGCTAAATACAAAATCCCTTGCTTAGAATATTCTTAAATAACCCCCAAACTACTGAAATCTGTAGAATTTCTTTATTCCATATGCTTTTTAAAATAAGGATGAAGGTAAATAGGGAGCAAATGGCTCTGTTCCTCCTCTGAACGCTATGTGGCAGAAGCACTACAAACCTGCCTTTGTGGAACATCCGATTAGGCTTCTACGCAAAATTCCTCTGGCTCATGCCTGCTTTGCCCCCCAAAATATCAGTATCCCTTAAAGCACGAATTTCTATTAAAACCATAAAATAATATAGAAATAGTTATAGCACTGCAAAGGGAGGGCTTGAATAGCAGAGAAGGTTTTTTTATAGTTAGATACTACTTTGATGTAATCAGAATTTGAAAAGATTTGAAAAATTACAAATCATTCTTTCCATGCTTTCTGTACCAACTGATTGTTGATCAACAGATGTTAGTAAAGCCTTTGCTGTAAACTATTCCCAAGATTATTCCCTAGAATTAACCTTTTGCTGGACTATAGTGCTTTCAGTCTTTCACACAAAAAAGGAAAGATTTACTTTACAATCAATATCTGCCCGAATAATATGTCATAGCTACTTCTACTGCATTAAAGTTTCTTTATAAAGACAGTTGATAGGAATACAGCTTGTACATTTGTGATTTTCATGTTGCAAATACAAGTGAAGCTGCTGTTCTTGTTACATTCCTTCAAGCAGTGCTTAAAATGGGCATAATGTATTTTCAAGCTCTGGCAATTGCTGTTTAATGCTCCACTGACAGCTTTCTTTTTGGACTTGTACTCTTCACGGCCAGCAGGTTGGCACAATAGCAGCAGGTGCTTTTACGAAGAAATAAATCTGTCTTTAATCCTTGTTACATGTTCTGCTTGCTGTGCTCGTTGAGATTCTGAAATTAAAGAGAGGCATGCTTGCTTATTTCCTCACAATCACTTATTTTTCAGGGGAGTCAGTGCTACATAATTCAGTCCAATAATTTTTATTTCATATGCTGGTATAGTTGTTTAGGTGATGATGCATGATCGGTAAAGAATAGCTTAGAGCTGTGGGATTAATTTAATCATCAGCATCATTCCCATTGTTGCATTTTGCAATGTGAAACATGGAAACGTGTGACCTTAACTTTATTAATGCTCCTTCTAGATCTGTTTTTTAACAGTCTGGTGTGGGGAAGGTTCATTGTCAGTGTGAGTGGTAACTGCTGCAGAGTATTTGTAGGAAGTATTAGTAATTTTGAACATTTCACCTGCAGCAGAATATTGAAGTAGTTGTCTGCCTAGGGTTTGCATTCTCCTTTTTAGTGGATTTTCTATCTTCAAGCACTTGTGAATACATCATCCTATTTCAGAGAGTGAAAATTGAGATACGTAACATTATGTATTGTTTATTTCCCAAAGTTATTCAGCAGGCCTGACTGATCTGAGAGGGAGACTGAATATACCAAGATTTAATTGGCGTTCTCTTAACTAAAGCATTCTTTGCATTTTTCTGTGGAACTTGAAGAACCTGTTTTCGGTCTTTCACTGGGAGAGATGAGTATGGTGTAATCCCTGTACCTGCTTACACACATCTGGCTGCCCATATAAGAAGTGCCTTTAACTGTGAATATCAACTGATGATTCCAAGAAGGAACTACATTTTTTAATTGGATTTAAAACAAATCTGTGCAGATTTGCATGAAGCTTGCATGAATCTTGGAGGCAGAGGCTCTTGGTAACTATCCAGTTAGGTCTACCTCCTTTGCTGAAGCACTTGGGTGAGCTTTAAACTCATAAAAAGACCCTTCAGCCCATCCCTTGTGCTGCTGTGGTTAGTTTCAAACTAGTTTTGTTCCCACCACAGCAGGCTGCAGGGATGACTGTTGTGTGAGCATCTCCCATTTTCTTCTTTATTTCTTATCATAACGCAGTTCTTGAGCTTTTCTCTGACATACTATCTGCCTGAGCTCGGTTAACTCTGTGGTCCCCCTGTGCCCTAGATGCATCCAGCCCTGCTGTTTTCATAGAGGTGCAGCAGAAGATGCTGAATAATGAACCATTGCTCTCTTTTACCTTCTTAATTCTTGGAACAGTCATGTGGAAAGATTTATTTCTCCTTGGTACAACAAAAAGACTTCTAAAATTAGGTGGGGATTCTCTCTCCTTTGGCAGCTGCAGTGGCTGGCTCTAAGGGAAATAAGAATGCCAAGAAATTTATTACTTTTGTTCCAAGTATTTCTTTCCTTACTCTATGACTTCTCTCCATTATTTAAGCTCTATCCCTGTGCCCACATCATAAAAGACTAAATGCTGTAGAACAATGTTGTGTGAACTTTAAATGACAGAGATGATCACCTGCTTTATTAGATAAATTGTCCTAAATTTGAAATGTTTGTGTGAGAAATGAGCTTGGCCTTGGGCCCCAGACCTCTCATCTTGTCATCACTAGAAAAGCTGGCACAAATTTCAATTTTGGTTTTTTACATTTGGATAAACTATTATAGCTGTAGTGAACAGGAGCCATTCACCTAAACAGCTCTGCAGACCAAGACTGAAAGGCAGGGTGTCTTTTATCAGCCAGGGAGATAGCTGCAGAGGGGGCTGAGATACCATTTTCCAATCTTGCCTGTTGTATTAACACAAGTAACTTTATAGCTGCAATCAATACAATAATGTGAAGAATTAACCAGTTGATCTGTTCAAAAAGCACTGAATAGAATGTAAAATATTTGTAGGTGCTCCCTAGTCATTCTGAGTATTGCTTACACATCAGTTGAAAAGTTGGTGTGAAGTGACACAGTTCTACCCCAGCCATGTCACAGGTATAGAGAAGCTCAGATATTGTCTATGCTGAAACAAGTATATAGATATTAATAAGGTTCATCTTCACATTGAAATATAATAAGTATACACATAAAAATGTGTATGCTCTGAAAGCTGGAGAGGGGCTTTGTACAAGGGCCTGTAGGGACAGGTCAAGGGGGAATGGGAGACATTAGGCAGAAGTTCTTCCCTGTGAGGGTGCTGAGGCCCTGGCACAGGTTGCCCAGAGAAGCTGTGGCTGCCCCACCCCTGGCAGTGTTCAAGGCCAGGTTGGATGGGGCTTGGAGCAACCTGGTCTAGTGGAAGCTGTCCCTGCCTGTGGCAGGGGGTTTGGAACTGGATGAGCTTTAAGGTCCCTTCCAACCCAAACCACTCTGTGGTTCTGTGATTCCGTAACTGCAGCTAACCTGTCCATACTATTAACACTTTAACCCAAAACATACTGAATGCTTAATCTCAGGGTAAAAGCTCAGTTTTGCTTTAATCCTTAGGAGGTTAAATATTTTATTGGAATGGTTCCTACTGTAATAGTCTCATATTTTACTGTGTGGCTAGATCCTCCATTGATCCTCCATCTCAACCAACAAGTCAGAGTTTGTTTTTGTAATTAGACATGAGCGAGGTCACAAGAGCCTCCTAGCAAATTCCAGTTGGTTTCTTTCACACCTAATTGTGTGTATGTTTGCTATTTACAGGATTGCAAAGATTTTGTGAAGATATAGAAATGATGATTGGATTTAAGCCAAGTAAATTCTGGAGAGTCTGTTGGGCATTTGTAACCCCAACTATTTTAACAGTAAGTAAAAGTTTTATTTAATGTCTTCTCGAAAGTGCTTTGTTGTTTCTACCTCTTTCCTATGGCTTCTTAAAGGTGATAATTACATCTTGGGTGCAGATACCTAGACACACATGAATGTGTGTGCACATGTTCTCGCATGAGTGTATAGCAAATGACATGGAGCAGAAGTGATGGTGTTTTTGGTGAAGAGGGGTGGTGAGTATCCTCATGCTACTATGGCAGTCCTTCCCCATGTGTGCAAAGTGCTAGTGTGGTGTACCATTGCACATCAGTGATGACCGTGTGTGTAACACGTATGTACGTATACACATAGTGCAGGAATGAAAGTGACACAATCTCTGTTCTGTTCTTAGGTTAAGCTAGGGAAAGAGCACATTATTGAGTCCTAAACTGGTCTGGGAGGCATCTTTTGGGAAGGCTGATGTGGAAACCTGAGTGACAAAGTTTTAGCTGCAAAGCTGTAGATACTTTTGCAAAGGTTAATACAGTTATATTGACAATAACAAATAGAACTGCCTTCAGTTTCTCTGAAAAAAAGAAAAGAAAGAAAAAAGAGAAAAAAGGGCTTGTTCAGCCTGGAGAAGACAAAGATCCAGGGAGACCTTAGAGCAGCTTCCAGTGCCTAAAGGGGCTACAGAAAATCTGGAGGAGGGGTCAGAAGTGAATGAATCATAGAGTCATAGAATGGTTTGGTTTGGAAGGGACCTTCAGAGGTCATCTAGTCCAACCCCCCTGCAATGAGCAGAGACATCTTCAGCTAGATCAGAACCACATCCAGCCTGGCCTTGAGTGTCTCCAGGAATGGCATATCAACCACCTCTCTGGGCAACCTGTGCCAGTATTTTACTACCCTCATTGTAAAGGATTTTTATCTGGCATCCAGCCTGAATCTCCCTTCTTTTAGTTTAAGCCCATCAACCTTTGCCCTGTTGCAACAGGCCCTGTTAAAAAGTCTCTCCCCATCGTTTTTTAGGCCCCTTTTAAGAACTGAAAGGCTGCAATAAGATCTCCCAGAGTCTTCTCCAGGCTGAACAAGCCTCACTCTCACACCTGCAAAGGTGCTCCAGCCCTCAGAGCGGGCTCCTCTGGACACTTTCTAACAAGTCAATGTCTTTGCTGTACTGAGGACTCCAGAGCTGGTCACAGGACTCTTTTTACAAGGGCCTGTAGTGCCAGGACAAGGGGAAATGGCTTTAAAGTGGCAGAGGGGAGACAGATGAGATTTTAGGCAGAAGTTCTTCCCTGTGAGGGTGCTGAGGCGCTGGCACAGGGTGCCCAGAGAAGCTGTGGCTGCCCCCTCCCTGGACGTGGTTACGGACCG